TCAGATAAATGCTGTTCTTCTGAACTTTCTATTCATCAAAGAAACCTGAAAAAAATTCTACTCAGCAGTTTTCAATGTAATAATAATAATGAATCTTCAACATGTTTTACACTAAACAATACTTTTAGATTGAACTACTTTGAGAGTTTACCATTAAAAAAATGCCGTTTTATAAGAGAAGTCACTGACTTTTTGCGACAGGCACTCAACTTACGGCACTTCTATTCACGTCTCATTCATTCCTATGGGATCCGTAAACGGCGATTGAGTGTCGCACAACTCAATGATGTCAAGGCTGAAATGTGATTGGTTATTAAGGCACACGTGATCCAAGTTGACCATTACGCTTTCTCCAAAAGTAAGTAATACAGACCCCCCTCATCTAACAATAGTAAGGCAATCTCTGGTCCATCAGTGTATATACAATCCAATAATGTCTATTTCCAATTTCATGCCATGTGATCAGTGATCACTCACATGACAGGCAGGCACAGTCTCATTTAAAGGCATACACACATTAAAATAGGTAAGAGGAATAAAATGGCTAAGACGTCATGCAAATCCATAAAACTCAAATATATACATATATATATATAAAACCATCATAATACATAATGATTGGATTAAAACGTGTCCTGTGTGACAGTGTCACAAGACAATGCAGCAATTCTCTCTGTTCCTCTGTTTACTTCTCAGTTTTTGTTTGTTGAGGTCAGCTGATCCATGTCTCGACTACTTATAGAAATATCAGAGGTTTAATTAGACAGACTGGTGTAATGTTTTTAAAAGAACAGTCCCTTAAACTTTCTTTTACATATATTTAAGAGATCAAAGCTTTTCCTGTAGGTGGTAAAAAGCTAAATGAGCTTTCTCATCGGTGTAGGAGGACAAAAAGGACATCAAAGAAGAAGCCTCATCAGATAGCAGAACAACAGAGACATTTTATCAACACTGTATTTGTGACAGCACCTACAGTATGATCTCACATGTGGGCCGGTCTATAGAAACATAAAAGAACACAGTCAGAGGAACTCCACACTGAAACAGGTGCATCACATGTGAACTGCTGAAATATTCCTCTCCTCTCAAATCAGTCAGAGAAAGAGACAGTAAGAAGGACTTTAAAGAAGAGGTGGCTTTGAGGTACAGTATTTTAAATACAGATATTAATTTGATCAAAGTGCATTTGTTTGCAATAGACTGTGGGGGAAAAAATGTGCTTTTATTTGTCCTATTTTTGACAGAGCACTGTATACATTACAGATTATCACAGGAATAAAAAGAAAAATAACTTTGTAATAATGTTGTAAAATTAATCAGATAGGAAATGAATTCATTTGCACTACAAGCAGATCTACAGAAGACAAAATTGTCATTATGCAGCTCAGTTGAGTTCATCTCATCCGTTAGTGTCAGTGCAGTTAAATCTATAATATTACACATTTTTTAATGCTTAAATACTGTTGGACATAAATTGTGCCTGAGCACGGCTTTCTTAAAAGAAAACAAACATTTTATTTTCCATTTATTATTATTTTAATGAATGAGTTAGACTGATCATTATCTAAACTTTTCCCCCCTTAAAATAAGTAAATGCAGTCAGACTTTTAAATGTGCAGAAATTCTGTGTAGGTTTTGTAGTGAGTACAGCAAGCTGCTGAAACAAGGACACAAACGCCCTTTCATTTTTCGTAAAGATGACTGTGGTATCATTATCTTATCTGCTATCTATACAGAAGCAGCCATGATGCAGAAACATTTACATACAGTAACTTCCCTCCTAAACACACGCCGTGCCGCTAGGCAAAAGTTTTGCATACTTTTGAAAAGAGTACTTATTACAGAAATATACTAATAAACTGTAATGTTTTCTGACACTTTGCACATCGATGCATGTCAATTGCCACTAAATTCAAATGTATTATACTTTCTATGAAATTCAATTAGCTGAACTTTAGAGCGAATTGTTTTAAACTAACCGAAGTAGGACTTCAGTACATGTACAATAGTACAATATATCATTTCATAATTACTTGTTTTCTTTAAAATATGGTTACTAAATTGAATTTCTATTGATATTATATGAAATTGAATTGTATTGTATTAGCCAACAACATCAAAATAAGTGTACTTAAAAGCATGATAAAAGATCATGATTCAGAACTTTGAATTTGACATTGTTACAAATTGCACTTTCTGAAAGCCTTTTATTTAATTAATATTACATTATTTGCAAGTACAGTTTTTATTTCATGTACACTTGTTTCCACAGGGGATGAGCTTTTGTTTGATATGCAAATGTAATTTTTTAGAGAAAGGAAAAATTGAAATTGCATCATATGACCCCTTTAACAAACATTGGAAGTACTGTGTGGTTGTTTTGCTTTTAGATTTTCAGATTTGAATTCTTTCCATCTCTCTCTTTTCTTTCAAGGTCAGTCATACAGTTATGAATGAGTTCATGGATTATTACACAAATGATACTTATGATTATGATAATGAGGCGGCACCTTGTAACCTGACATGGTTCAACGAACAGCAAGTGACCATCCCAACATTCATCTACTCTCTAATTTGCACACTCGGCCTGCTGGGCAACGTTTTGGTCCTCCTAACATACGCCTTCTACAAGAAAGCAAAAACCATGACAGATATCTACCTGGTTAACGTGGCGCTGGCGGATCTGCTGTTCGTCATCGCCCTTCCACTGATCATCTACAACGAACAGCACGACTGGGGCATGGGCACGTGGGCTTGTAAGTTTCTGAGAGCAGCCTACAGCATCAATGTGTACAGCAGCACGCTCCTGCTGGCCTGCATCAGCGGTGACCGCTACATCGCCATCGTGCAAGCCAGACGATCGGTTCGAATTCGATCGCAAGCTCAGGTGTACAGCCGTCTCATCTGCTCGGTCATTTGGCTGCTCGCTTTTATCTTGTCTCTGCCTACGCTTATATATTACCAGGAGGAAAACAAGGAATGCATCCTTAACTTTCAGGAGCACAACCTTGCCAGAATCATGAAAATCCTGATTCCGAGCATGCAGATGGTCCTTGGGTTCTTGGTGCCGTTGATGGTCATGATATTCTGCTACTCGTGCACCATGGTGACTCTACTAAAAGCTCAAAACTTCCAGAAGCACAAGGCGATCCGCGTGGTCCTGGCCGTGGTCTTCGTGTTCGTCATTTGCCATCTGCCTTACAACGTGGCTCTTCTCGTCCACACCAGTAAACGGTTCAGTGAGAGAGTCTGCGAGGAAGAACAGGTGACTCTGATGACTTTGTCCATCAGCAGGAGTGTGGCCTACCTTCACTGTTGCTTGAATCCCATTCTGTACGCCTTCATTGGGGTTAAATTCAGGAGCCACTTTTGTCAGATCTTCCAAGACTTGCGGTGCCTGGGGAAACGGTACATTTCGGGACGCTCCTCTCAGCATACCTCGGAGCTGTACATATCAGCAAACAAAACCGTTGTTGGACAGAACCATGAGAACCCATCATCGTTTACAATGTGACAGAACTTTTGAGTGATTGAACTCAAGGAAGCAGTTATCTGTGGACTGTTTGTTTGGTGCTTATTTTGTGTTTTAGTTTCATGGATTGCCGAAATGAAACTGAAACTTTTTGGCTTCAGAAAAAGGTTCCATAACTGACATTGACTAACAATGAGCAATACATTTATTACAGCATTTTTAAATTACATGTCATCTCAGGTCCATTAAATAATATTCATATATTGATGCTGATTTGCTGCTCAAGAATCATTGCTTCATATTTTTTGTGGAAACCATGATACAGTATTTTCAAGGATTCTTTGATGAATAGAAAGTTCAAAAGAACAGCATTTCTTAAAAAAAAATAATAATAATCTTTCAATCAATTTCACTGCCCCAAACTTTTGAAACAGTAGTGTATTTTCAGGTTAACCTGTCACCTTTTTTCTTAGGTTTTCAGTCTTTCACCTTCAATAGTTTTAGTGGTCCTGTGGTGTTGCGAATGCATTTTTGTAGCATAAATGTTCCATATAGTTTCTCAACTCATACATCTATAATAGCAGTCACAATTCAGGACACCTCATGTCCAATTAAAAGGGGGATGAATTGGAAGACTTTCTTGACTTTTAAAGTCCTTTTAATGTTGCCCATGATAAATTCTTCAGCAAGATTACATGTGATAAAGACTTTATGTTTCTACTCAGAAAGAAAAGGGAAAGGAGTACACGCCTTTATAATAAAGAATGTTTCAGTACATTTAAGTATTTTTGTGAACAACTGTCCCGGAAAATTTTTTATGTCTCATGTTAAGAGTTAAAGCAGTCTTACAGCAACACATAGGGCTTGAGTCATCGATGTAACGCAAGCTCTCTTATTCTTATTATGAATAAACAAATTATGAGTAAAGCATTACTTTAAGCTTGTGATACATGGAACTTACAGTAAACACAGAATCAGTGATACAAGCAGGGAGAAAAGGGCATATGTAGAAGAAAAACATATCTCTCCAGGATACGAGCAGGTATCGGGTTTGAGGTTTGGGAGCGGTGAGAGCGTGTAACATGGCATTGATAACCATAGAGCAATCCTTAAATCCTGAAGTACACAATAAATTAAAATATTCACATGCCATCTCAATGTATTTCTGGTTAAATGTTAGTTTACGTGCATCATCAAATTCATCCCATATATCTTGCTATGTTTTCTTGGGCAGAATGTTTGTGGCTATGCCAAAATTTCCTGGTTGAATAATACTGACCTACAAGAACAGAGAAACAGAAAAATAAAAGAATGCACTGTGTTCAAAGAAATATCCTATTTGTAATAATAATAATAATAATAAAAAGATCCACTGAGGGCTTTAAACATCGATGACAATGTGAGTTTCCCTTTAAAAGAACACTGTTAAAAAAAAAAAACTGTGACATTTACGGTAGAATTCCGGCAGCTGCAGTTGCCAGAACTTCACCGTAAAAAATATGGTAGCAACATTTTAGGTTTTACAGACTTTTATTCACAATAAAATACCATATTTCATTAACTGATGTAATGTTAATAAACCAACATATTGAATTAATATCCGTTTTGAATAATTGTAATGCACTGATAACCACCAAAAACTGGTGGTGATGAGAAAGTCACATGATGAACCAAAGCTCATCACAAACAGCTTTTCTACGAGCTGAGGAGGACAATACTTATATATAGAAGGTGCACAGTGTCATTCACACAAACACTAAACCCCATCATGGTGACACACGATACTGAAATAATGCAATAAACATTAATTTAACAACATTAGATGTAAGATTAAACCCTAATGTACGGCCTACCTTCACTGTTGCTTGAATCCCATTCTGTACGCCTTCATTGGGGTTAAATTCAGGAGCCACTTTTGTCAGATCTTCCAAGACTTGCGGTGCCTGGGGAAACGGTACATTTCGGGACGCTCCTCTCAGCATACCTCGGAGCTGTACATATCAGCAAACAAAACCGTTGTTGGACAGAACCATGAGAACCCATCATCGTTTACAATGTGACAGAACTTTTGAGTGATTGAACTCAAGGAAGCAGTTATCTGTGGACTGTTTGTTTGGTGCTTATTTTGTGTTTTAGTTTCATGGATTGCCGAAATGAAACTGAAACTTTTTGGCTTCAGAAAAAGGTTCCATAACTGACATTGACTAACAATGAGCAATACATTTATTACAGCATTTTTAAATTACATGTCATCTCAGGTCCATTAAATAATATTCATATATTAAAATTTTTAGTAATGCATTAGTTGGCCAAATATTGAAAAAAAAAGTATTTTTATTGTTAGTTCATGTTAACTAATGTAGTTAACTCATGCTAATAAATGGAACTTTATTGTAGTGTTACCTCTCGTTTTGAAAGTACTGATGCGGAAAATATGGTAAATATTTTTGTTTTCTAAATGTTTTCCTATTCAAATCCTTTTTCACAATAACTTTATTGTGGGCCGACTACTACAACCCATACCTGATTTGCAAGGCAAATGCATATCGGGAAATGCATATCAGTCTTGTCAACAATATGGTATTAAACTATGAGTGTTAAGGTAAAAAATGCATTTATCTTGTAAAAGGCTCAGTGTAGAAATATTAAAAACAAGCTTTAATGAGAAAACCAAAGCATTTAAACTTTAACCATGTAAAGCCTAGTGAATCGTGCATTGCATTATATGTTTTGATCATAAAACTAAGCATCTAAATATCATCTTACTAAGACATATTATTGGAGATATAGAATGACGAAAACAAGTATCTGCTATACTGTTATAAAGATCCCATTGATTTACATGACACGCTAATAAAATCAAATTTGGTGAAAGAGCACTGCATTGCAGCAAAACACGCGTGTGTGTGTGTGTGTGTGTGTAAACTGTTAACTATAATCAACAGTTTCAAGGTTCAATAAACTTTTGAAAATTTCAAAACTCATTTTCAAAAATGACTATTACCTCATGTGTCAGGCTTTACAGGGTCAGCATAAAACCTTTAAATATTAAGAAATCTTTAAATATGATTGCCTGAGTGAACAATAACACTCCACTGTGACAGTGCTCAATGAGATCTGCTGGACAGGTTTATGAGGTGATAAAACAGTATTGTATTATGTAGCATTGTAGTGCTATATGACTTCTGGAGTGTTAGACAGGGACTTTTGGCCTTGTGGTTGGAAAGGAGGCCCTATATCTTTGTGAACTGTAGACAATGACACGCCTCTTCTTCCTCTGAATATACACAAGTTACTGAAAGTAGTGGGATGATTATCTAAATCTAACGAAATGGGTCACAGAGCAATACACTTCCAGATAATGGTTAAACAGAAAAGCAGAAATTAAACACTTTATAAATAAAACGTCTTGACTTGACCTGGAGTAACATCATATCCACGAAAGCAGGAAACATTACAAGAGGAAAAACCTACTGGTGAAACCAACCATGTCAGAAAACATGGGTCGTCTCTCCAGGCGTTTTATCTATTTAAATGATGCTTATCTTAGTTCCTCGTACTACATCTGTGAACAACACATTGAGTTTGCATACAGATGCAATATGGCATCAAAAAATGCCCAAATTTACATTACAAATTCACCAGCCAGTTTAATGAACGGTAAGTTTCTAGGTCATTTTTATTATGCTTTTTTAATATATTTTCAAATGTAATTTAGTACTGTGATGCAAAGCTGAATTTTCACCACATAATTTTTGGGAATCATTCTATGATGCTGATTTGCTGCTCAAGAATCATTGCTTCATATTTTTTGTGGAAACCATGATACAGTATTTTCAAGGATTCTTTGATGAATAGAAAGTTCAAAAGAACAGCATTTCTTAAAAAAAAAAAAAAAAATCTGAGGACAGTACTTATATATAGAAGGTGCACACAGTGTCATTCACACAAACACTAAACCCCATCATGGTGACACACGATACTGAAATAATGCAATAAACATTAATTTAACAACATTAGATGTAAGATTAAACCCTAATGTACACAACTGATAAGAAAAAACTAAGAACCATGTTATTTCAACAAAAAAAACCCCATCAAATATGAAGTGTCATGCAGGGAATTCTGGGAGTGTCAATTTACGTTTTTTCACTGTAAATTATGCAATGACTTTCTTTTTAACTTCCAAAAACATTTTACTGTAAAATTACCAGAGATACTCGAGTAAAAGTACAGATACCTTACAGTGAAAATTACTCCACTACACGTTACAAGTCACCAATTCCAAAACAATTTGAGTAAAAGCCTTAGAGTACCTGATTTTAACAGTACTTAAGTATTTTACTTATACTAAACGTAGGCTCAAAGATGCACTAGTCAAAGAGAAATGAGAGTCAAAAACTGTACCGTTGTGGAGAAGCTGGGGAAAAAGGCAGAGGCAAGGATCTATGTGCAGGTATTTAATGGAAAAACTAGAACAAACAATAAGCCAAAAACCAAAGGGAACAAAGAACAGAATGACTGGCAAACAGATAACCATTACATTCAACAACTCACAAGGAACGAAAGAAAAACTAGGGCTATATATACACACGGGGCTAACAAGCTTAACAAGATAAGACACACCTGGGGAGACTAATCAAGGGGAACCAATGAACAAACGGACTACAAACTGACTACAAACACCACGGGAGACAGGAAGTGACATAATAGTCCAGGGCAAGGCACAGAGAGCAAGAAAGAGTTGATTTGTGAGGAGAGCAATCATGTTTATTTTCTAAAACCAAAATAAAACTGAACACCTCAAAATTACAAAACAAAACAAACAAACAAACACAACAATATCTTTCAAAAAGGTCTCTTCATTATAATGGATAAATAAAATAATGTTGCAGTCATGTCCTCATCTCGTATATAAAACACCTGTGATTCACAAATACTTGCTAAGGAACTCGCATTCACATAAAGTAGCCTTGTTGACAAGTTTGGGTGAGTAAGGGCAAAACGCACAAGACGCAGTACTTTCAGTGACCTGTAGTAGGCAATATCACGTCTTTTGTAGCAGAAATAAACTGCTGCAGAAAAAGATAGGTCCATGCAAAATGTAATGTGTAACTGCAACACTCATTTCAAATTTAGTGGAGTAAAGAGTACAGATACTCATTCAAACATGTAGTGAAGTAAAGAGTAAAAGTTGCTAATATCTTTGATACTCAGTACAACTACAAAGTATCCGAAAAGATACTCAAGTACAGTAACTAATTACATTTACTCCAATACTTTACACCTCTGAAAATTACATTGAATGTAATTACATTTATTCACCGAATATAGTATGGAAACTTACTGTTAGCCAGTTAACAGGTTTTTACTGTAGCCTTTTTACAGTCTTTTACTGTTAAAATCACAACCATTTTTTACAGTGAATGACCAAGGCCTTACCTTAACTCCAAAATTGGCCATCTCTACTCTCAAGCAGTCTGCAAACGCTTCCAGTCCCCGTTTGGATACACTGTATGCTCCCATGTTCAGACAGTTGAAGAAAGAAAAGATACTTGACACATATAACATACGACCTACGAATGAATGATGAAAAAACTCTCAGTAACAACTGCTGTCACTGGCACAGTAGTACCCTTTCAAAAGGGTACACTTTCTGCCTTTTTTACCTCTAAAGGATGTATGTTACTACCTTAAAGGTATACATTACATGAAGTCTACATATTAGTACCTAAATGCCAAATATAAAATTGTCAAGGCATTTTTAAATGATCTGCATCACTTAATAAGCTTTTCTGTTTGGCTGATCAGTGTCAGAAATAGCTTTTATTTTGACAGCGCTAAGAACACGAGACCTGAGCGCAGATGAGAGCATAATCTTTAAATCATTTATTTTAAACGTTGCTGCACTAGATACCGTTAGCCGCTATGTCATACGTCAGTGTACTGTATGCAAAATTAACATTGCCTGGAGTTTATTTTAGAAAATATGATTCCCAGATCACACAAACTTACCAGATTACTGAGTGCACTGTTGGTTACAGTGTTTACTTCCTTTTTAGTCATGTTTTTAACTATGTGAAGGTAGTTAAGGATTACAGAATCAAAACGAATCAGTTTGTTTAACAGATTTATTATCAAATGATTTTTTTTCACAGATTAATTTTAGAATTCATTACTTCTAATTTTGTAAATGTGTCAAATATCAATTTCATTGTAGCAATTGTTGTGCATTTTATTTAAATTAAATACTGTGATATCATATTTCAGCTTTATATAGGCCACCATGCTCTCTAAGCTCATCAGGAAATACAAATCAATCGACCGCTTGTAAATATTGCCTTTTAAAAGGGTGCTACCCCAGTGACAGTGTACAGTCAAAGAATAATTTAAAGTGCCCCTATTATGCCATTTCGAATACTGTCTTTCACGCAGTGAGCAATGTAGCTGTATGTGAATGTAAATGATCTGCAAAGTTGTAAAGCCAAAAGTGCATGATAAATAATGTTCTATCATGACAACTTTGGCATGGTTGTGTACATGACACTGTTAATGCTTGGGTTGAACACATTATTTTTGCTTGGTTGGAACAGCAGCTACGTTAATTTTGACTTCTCTGTTTCTACCACAGGATTGGCATCCCAAGGTGACTACACAAGCTTCAGTCTGGATCCAACCCTTACAAAGATCTGAGATGACCGAACACCTGAGAAGAGATGATGCCAACCCCTCAGAGGACCTCAGACGATGCCAACCCTGAAACAACATACAGAACTACCAAACTGTGCAATAAGTTTGACTGCAATATATAATCTTTGCCGTTAATAGTGTTCGCCGTCTGTTTGATTGCGTCATTACCTAACTGCATGATTTTTACTGTACATTTCTTCCATATTCACATCAACTTGACAGTCGATAAGCTACTACTAAATATAATGTAGAAACGTATTTTCTGTAAAGCTGCTTTGCAATGGTTTGTATTGTGAAATGCACTATACAAATAAACTTGAATTGAATTAACGTGCTTGGTCTTGTCGGAATAGATCTGCTACGCTGTTGCTGCTGCCGCAGCAGAGCAAGTACCGAGGCTTGCTACTGCCAATACATCCACAGCATGCTTCATGTATGAAATACTGCTGCTGCACATATGAAATAACCCACATATATGGCATACATGAATCACGCAATAGCATAGCTTTATTTAAACCTCTCTGCTTAACCGGTCACATACATACATAATGTTTGTAGTTTTTTTTAAACGTTTTTTTTTTAAAATTGTGTTTGTAGTTCTGAACCAAAGCCCAATGGATTGTAGGCAATATTAGCCATTAGAGTGTGCACGGATCCACACTTAAAAAACAACATCCGGGGACTTTTGGCAAACTCCTTTCAACATCCCAGCAGTCAACACAACATCATAAGATGTTGATATTTGGTTAATTCAATGTCAATTCAACGTCTAATGTCAATGATAATTTTGATGTCCAATACCGACTTCTGACGTTGACATTTGTTGTTTTTAGGTTGTGTAACCAAAATCCAACGTTCAGTCAATGTCAAATTGGTGTCAAGTACTGACGGCAACCCGATTTTCATTCTCTACCAAAATGAAACGTCTGTCTGACATCATGTCCAGTGTCAGTCTGGCCTTATATTGGCGTCCTGTGCCTGCTGGGATACTATGCTTTGGGATAATCTCACATTCTAGTTAGGATGGATAGTATGAACATTGGGATGCAGAGTGGATCTTAGAACTGCTTTGAACAAACTGTTTGAGAATCGTTGGAAAATGAGGAAAACGTAAATGCATTTTATGAGAAAACAAGAGTTTTTTGATGTTGCATGCATGTAGACTCCCAAAACAATATTAGTAACCTTAAAATGGCATAATAACGGGCATTTTAATCAACAATGACTTTAGAACATTATACGCAAGTTAGAATAGATGGCACCAATGACCTTTGGATGCTCTGACAAGTGACAAGAATGGGATGGTGACTCTGATGGCACCAAACAGGTTAACGTCAGCCATCTTCTGGAAGTCCTTGGCAATGCTCCACTCGGTCTCTCCCCAGTCACTGATTCCAGCATTATTTACCACAGCATAGAGGCCTGAAAAAATTACAACAATATACAGAACAAGAGGGATTTCATCCTTGAAATGTGAAATACTATAAATAAGAGATTTTGTAGTGTTTAAGTTACCCTTCTCTGGCAAATTTGCTTGAACAAAACCCTTGGCCAAGCTGACATCTTCATCTTTGGTCACATCCAGCTGGAGCACCTTCATACGGTCAGAGCCTTCTTCAACCAGACTCTGAGCCCCGGGACCCTCAGGACATAAACATCCGGCAAACACTGTGAAGCCCATGCGGTCCAGTTTCTTTGCAAGGTGATGTCCAAATCCACTATCACAACCTGTAATCAACACCGCCCGGCCGAATCCATCCGACAAGCCATTTTCTGCGTGGAATACCATTTTAGCCCAGAGCATGAAGCAGATGACCAGACCGAAATATGTGTAAATGTATTCGTCACTCAAACAGTTGTAGGAAATGAGCAGGACGGTCATGCTGAAAAACACTGGCTTCATTGTGAATTAGGAGCTCTGATTGAGGAACCTTTAATTGAGGAAACAGAAAAATTACAACTGAAAAGAGCATCAAAATACAAGTGGGTTAAGGGACCTCACAATATTAGCAGTTACATAAGATATCATGCAAGTAATATCATGCATTGTTACCTTGTTTTTTCCTTGTGGTATCTGTTGACATGCAAACAAACACGCAAAAAAAAGATGAATAAGGTCGCACTCGACTGCAACCAGGTCATGCACAAAGACAGATTGATCAAGCGATTAAGAGCTGTGATCAGATTTACTGTAAGCTACAGGCAGTAAATTAAGATAATCAACAGATATACAGACACAAATGTTCCAGTTTGAGGTGTTATAAACACATTCCGTGGTTTAATCAAAACAGCAGATACAGGAGATTTGCATTCATTCTTTTATTCAAGGAAGAATGACACAAGGTTTCACATGTCACATATATTAACACAATAAGACTCGTTTTCTTGCTCAAATGCTTGTCCAATTTACATTTAAAAGACATATACATATATATACAAAAAGTAACAAAAGTAAATATTGAAGCTGTGTGTGTGAGTGTTTAAATATATATATACACACACACACACACACACACACACACACAGCTTCAAAATGTCCTTTTTTAACCTTAAAGGGCACCTATTGTGCCAAATTCACTTTTACATACGTAAATGTACAACGTAAATGTGTTGGCAGTGTGTGTACACAACCACCCTATAATGATAAAAATCCGCCCGCCCTTTTTTTAATCCCCATAAATCATGACCAGTCTCTCAGAACAAGCAGTTTCTGAATCTGTAAAATGTGACGTCATATTTTACATGCTCTGACATTGCTGTATTAGCAGAGACCCAACCCTGAGTGAGCCAGAAACAATCTGCCATGTTTATCTGCTCGCTAGAGCATTTAAAAGCAGCATTCAAGTAAGAATTGTCTGCTTATTAGAGCTACAGAAATTGTTTATTCAAGAGCAGTGAGTGATTTTCTGTTTTTATTTCATTGTTTGGGTCATATAACAATAGGTACTGCCTTACGCTGCTCTCAATTAATACACAGATCTAATATAAACGTACGATAGACATAACCGACTGTTTTTTTTTTTTTTACTTGTGTGTATTTGACAGTCAAAGCGCAATGTGCTTCGAATGTGTGCACTCAGAAAACTGTATATCAGAAGTTTAAACTAATATGGCTTTAAAGTGCATGATTTCAGCACGATAGACATGATAATCCAAACCAAACAGATGTTTTTTTTGCCAGAATATCGGAGGTACGAGCTGTAAAGGCATAGCGCTATTCTGGAAAAGAGGGTGGGGAGCAGCAGCTCATTTTGTATTTAAAGATAAATGTACGAAAACATTCCATTGAAAATAGGCATTTTCAAAATGATATAATAAATGATCTGTGGGTTATTTTGAGCTGAAGCTTCACAGACACATTCTGGGGATACGTGAGAGATAGAACATGCATGTCTGCAAGATGTCTGTTAAAGATCACTTGATCTGGAAAACATCTGCTGTGTACAAACATCTGACAGATGTTTTTAAGATGTCAGTTTTACATACATTCTAAATCATAAATCATGTCAAATAGATATCTTTGTGATGTACCTGTGCTATCAGGGATATTACATCTTGAAAAAAGGGGCATAATAGGTGACCTTTCATTTACCCCATTATTCCAAAAATAACCCTAGTTTGAAGATGCTAATTCTATTCTGGACACTGGAACCTAAAAAAAAAAGAATTATAATTTACGCACTTTCATGGCAGCCTAGTCATCATTCACTTACATTGCATATAATAGTGCAGCTTGGATATCACTTGGATCAACTTGTTCATTGGGAGAAAGTCATTTGGATTTGGAATGACATGAGGGTGAGAAAATCTGAAAGCTATCCTTTTAAGTACAGAGTAGGCTATGCCTATTAGTCTGCCATGCAAAGTAGAAAGATAGAGAGAAAGACGACTAGGTGTTTTTAGAGCCAAACTTTGGCAGCAAAGAGACCAATTCAGAAAGAAAGACTGTCAGTTTGACAGTTTTTGCTTCTTCTTTTTTTGATTGTTATACTGTGAGAACACATTATTCTTATATTGCTCTTCAGGTCACTTACCCACTCCTAGTTAGCTCTGCTGTTTTACTGTCTCTGTGCTTCATTTACCAGCTTAAACTAAATATATACGTATCATATTGCTTTAGAGTAGGCCCCTGAAAGAAGTTTTTAACAAATTATTAATTTCAGCTGAACACCTCATTTCCTCTTCTCTCCTCCCAAGTGCAAACTAAAACCAAACACTAGCAGGTCCTAGAGAGCCAGCGTTCTCTCATTCCAAATTGATTCTTTTGAACAGATCATTTTGAAAAAATGATTCAGTGTGAAGAGCTTTGTTAAATCACGGTGCGTTTCAAACACGATATATCGCCCTCTGAAGGGCACTTCGGAGTGAAAACAATCACGGCCGTTATATTGAAGGGTCGTTCCAAACCGAAGTGCTCAAAACTGGCCACTCCAAAGGGCCCTTTAGAATGAAGGATTTCAAAGGGTACAACTGATGGACACTTCGGGCTCCCATGATTCTTTTTATGATGACGGCGCCTCCGTGTGGGCAGAAGATGATGAAGATGAAGGGCACTTCATAAAACAGTTGTTTGGTCCCCCTACACCCTTCAACCCTTCGAAGCTCTCACTCCGGAGAGTAAACCCTTTGAAGGCATAGGGATGAGCCCTTCCGAATGGAACGCAGGGATAATGAACCACTCGTTCGAACTGCTTGAATGATTAACTATCAGGTGTTCCCATTTTTCCCGTAAGAGCCGGCGTGGCCATTTGTAATTTTAATGTGTCTGGCTTCCGGTGTCAGCCGCTTGCAGCTATTTTTAGCTGTACAAAACAGCTCATTTTGCTGCTTGATATGGCAAACTGGTGTTTCTTACCATAATATTTTATGTATTGTCTTAACTATAAACACACTGGGTTGTAGCACAAACAATTTTACAGTTTATTGCATTTTGTTATTCTACTCGTTATTTCCCTACCGGGGATAATAAAGCGGAAACCTCGCACATTCACAGAAAACAGATGACTTCCGCATTGAAAAATAAGGTGGACACAAAGAAAATGTTTTCATGTACAAGCATGGACATTAAGTATTTGGTTATTATAGGAAATAAATTGTGATTATTTAGGGCTGCTAACTCTCAGACATTTGACACGAGACACAGTCACAGTCTTTGTTTCGGTCTGCCTAAACAAACATCATGCCACATTATTAGCAAAGTTATGATCAGATTTTTTCTGCATCTCAATCCTGCATAGCTGTTATCTGTTGCATATTGGCATGCGTTTTTGTTGAACACAAACATTTCTCAGATAATAATGAACAAAAACATTAGAATCTTTTTCAAAATGGTTTTATGGTTTAGCTGATTTTCCTTAATGATGGAAAATGTAAACAATTCAAATTAAAAACTGTTGTCGTAAAGTATTTCCAATTAGGACAATGTTAATGATCATATATAAATTTAAAAAGATTTAAGACTGCTAATACATAGCTCATCTTTAATGTTTAATATATTTAAATAATATCCTGTATGGTATTAGGTTGCTAATATATTTGATTATATCTAGAATATTTAATATCAAATGTAAAAGAATACAATTATTACGTTTATTGGGGGTTCTGATTTGCCCACATGCAAAATCTGAATGTATCAATAAACTATTACATTTTCTTCAAGCAGCTGACCTTAGCTGGAAAATCCTGGGTTATGGAAAGTGGACATGTGCTGCCCTCAAAGAAAAAGGCCATTCATAGAGCACAAAGGCTTAATGAAAATATTTCCTGAACAGCATCTGTTCTTTATGGAAATAATTCATGGGGTTTTTGATGGGATTCCAGAACCAGGCTGTTGAATTCTGTTTTTCTAAAAAAAAGAAAAAAAGAATTCGAAATAATTTTTAAAGCAATTTCTAGAAAACGTGCCCTAATAATGTGCCTAAAAAAATCTTGTTATAAAAGTGTTTATTTTGAACTACTTCCTTGTTCTTTTGTTCAGTACTGTAGAGTCATGTTTCCATACAACAGAAAGATTTTCAACACTGCTAAGAATAAAAGAAGTTAAAGCGTTGCTTATTTGCTTATGTGTAATCAGGATATGGAGTCTTAGCGCTTGAAACAGCATGTCAAAATATCTTGAAATGTTGTTCAGTGTGACAGCAGTGTCCTGAGGCATTACACGCTATTAGAAGCTTCATCAAAAACTAATTTACAGTTGTATTATAATTTTTATGCATGCAGTTTTTATCACCATTTATTAATTAAGACTCAGACTGAATGAATAATTTGTACTTTAAAAATGGAGTTTCTCATCAAAAAACTGTTGAATTAAATGACTGAAACCATGAGATGATGACCAATCAAGGTATCTAAAACATAGGCTTTCCCCACAATAGTACAGTACCGTAAATCGTCAACCTGCTATCTTGACACACTTCCCACATCTTTTTTTCAAAAGTGTGCTTAACTGTTTAGAAGCAGATCTCTTAGAAGTGGTGAACACCTTTCCAAACTCCCTGAAAACTGCAGTTGTTAAGCCCCTTCTCAAAAAGAGCAATCTTGATAACACCACATTGAGCAACTATAGATCAATATCAAATCTTCATTTTATAGGCAAGATTATTGAAAAGCTAGTTTTAAATCAGCTAAACAACTACTTAAACTCAAATGGATATCTGGACAATTTTCAATCTGGTTTCCGACCGTATCACAGCACAGAGACAGCGCTCATTAAGATAATAAATAATATTCGCTTTAATTCTGATTCTGGCAAAATATCACTGCTGGTACTACTAGATCTTAGTGTCGATCATAACATACTTCTAGAGAGACTGGAAAACTGGGTCGGGCTTTCTGGGACGGTACTCAAATGGTTCGGGTCATACTTAGAAGGGAGAGGTTATTATGTGAGTATAGGAGAGCGTAAGTCTAAGTGGACGTCCATGACATGTCGAGTCCCACAAGGCTCAGTTCTTGCACCGCTCTTGTTTAGCCTGTATATGCTCCCACTAAGTCAAATAATGAGAAAGAACCAAATTGCCTATCACAGTTATGCAGATGACAGATTTGCCTAGCCTTATCCCCAAATGACTACAGCCCCCATTGACTCCCTCTGCCAATGCATTGATGAAATTAACTGTTGGATGTGCCAGAACTTTCTTCAGTTAAACAAGGAGAAAACTGAAGTCATTGCATTTGGAAACAAAGATGAAGTTCTCAAGGTGAATGCATACCTTGACTCTAGGGGTCAAACAACTAAAAATCAAGTCAAGACTCCTGGTGTGATTCTGGAGACAGACCTTAGTTTCAGTAGTCATGTCAAAGCAGTAACTAAATCAGCATACTATCATCTCAAAAACATTGCAAGAATTAGATGTTTTGTTTCCAGTCAAGACTTGGAGAAACTTGTTCATGCCTTTATCACCAGCAGGGTGGACTATTGTAATGGTCTCCTCACCGGCCTTCCCAAGAAGACCATTAGACAGCTGCAGCTCATCCAGAACGCTGCTGCCAGAATTCTGACTACAACCAAGAAATCTGAGCATATCACACCAGTCCTGAGGTCCTTACACTGGCTTCCAATTATATTTAGGATTTATAAATCACTCAATGGCCTAGGACCTAAATACATCGCAGATATGCTCACTGAATATAAACCTAACAGACCACTCAGATCATTAGGATTGAGTCAGTTAGAAATACCAAGGGTTCACACAAAACAAGGGGAGTCCGCTTTTAGCTATTATGCCGCCCGCAGTTGGAACCAGCTTCCAGAAGAGATCAGATGTGCTAAAACATTAGTCACATTTAAATGCAGACTCAAAACACATCTCTTTAGCTGTGCATTTATTGAATGAGCACTGTGCTACGTCCAAACAGATTGCACTGTATTTTATGTATAATCATTTTCTATTTTTAACTGTTTTAAATTCATTTTAAATACATTTTTAAATCATTTAAAAAAATGATAAATTCCTTGTTTTATAGTTGTTTTTTATGATTATTTTACTTCCTTTTATGTAAAGCACTTTGAATTACCATGGTGTATGAAATGTGCTATATAAATAAACTTGCCTTGCCACAAATATTAACCCAAAATGTTAATAGTATTTTTGCACACAATGCAATGCATCCCTCCCCAAACTTACTTTTGGCTCTTGTGATGAATATCCAGGTAAAACTTAATTCACAAACACCAAGTCTTTGTTTTTCATGGATGAAGAGGTTTCTTCAGCTGTAAGATGGAAGGGAAACCTTCATTTATTCGACCTAACCCAGCCTAATCAAATACCATCATGACACTCGTGATTGCAGTGGGAAATGCCACGCTGGATGCATGAGTTTTGATAAAAAGGATAAAGAACTTCATTATAAGTATCTAACAAAAGATTATGAAACTGATAACCTGATTTCATGTCTTTAATCAATAAACCATGAGAAAACAGAAGCAATTTATTCACTCAAACGTATTCTGATCAAAAAAAATTAAAATAATAGTATAACAATGACTTTAGAGTAAAATTATACAATTATATAAAACAATTATTTGTAATTCATTTACTGATCTAAAACAAGCCTTAATAGTGCATTATTGGAGGAATCCTGTTTCAATCCTTTCTACTCAGTATGTCTAATAACGAATAATAATATGTAAAAAATAATAGCAAAACATACTAACAAAGAAAATGAATGATGCTTATTCACTGACTGTCATGGGAAAGATGTGTAATAGTCACATGATATATGTAACTTTTTTTATAAAATATAAGAACCACCAGTAAAAGGAGACGTAGACATTTACATTTAAAAACAAATAAATAAATAAAGTGAATAATATCTGAAGAAAGTGTAATCCGTTTTTTTTTTTGGTACATCAAGCATGTTACCGAATAAGCGTTCATGTAAATTCTGAAACAGAATAAAAAATTTAAAAAAAAAAGATAAAAAAAATTGGCTGATAAGTTTTCCTGTATGGTCATTTAGTGTAAGAAGCAGAATTTTTATTTTAAAGGCACAGAAAAGCCCCACAGAGAACAAACAACTGTCACAATAGCAGAAGAGGATGACCATGGTAACATGAACAACTAGAGCCTTCTTTGTACGGTGTTCAAAGGCTGGAGCAATCACTAGAGTATGGTCAGGGGCTGGAGCCAACACTGGGCTGTGGTCAGGGGCAGAAATAGACACTGGACTGTG